CCATAATTAGGACCCTCTCTCGGTTCTTTCTGGTGCCGCTGTTCAAACCATAAATGATGCAGCAATATATAAATACTGTAGTATGCATTCTACTGTTGTTTCTTCACACGGAGTTATGGTTTGTACTGTACATTTGAAACCCTTGACACAATACGATGATCTGAGGCCGTGACCTATGACCCTGAAGGTGATGTGGGTTCCTTCCCACGCCACTTCCTTCCCATGCTACTTTATTTTAAATACAAATGGACATCATTCCTTTAAGATACATTCAGCTTGCATGGATTTATATTACTCTATTGAGGATGGTTCATTTACTCAGTACATCTTCATGCAAAAAGCTATACTTGCAAATATTATGGAGACTTTTGACGCTGAGAAAAATGTGAAAAGTATGTACTTCAACGAATTTCTCTCACAAGCTTTACCTCAGCCAGGCTAGCTTTTCTAAAAATATATAACAATCACATTTTAATATATAAAAGTAACAATATTTGATAAACCACTTGCCCACTCAGCCAGTCTATGTAGCCTAACGCTATTTGATAGCTTTGAAATTAATGATAAACAACAATTTACTATAACTTACGAGGCCTAACACAACACCTTTGGAGATTAGGTTGCTTCTCCCACTGCTTGATTAGCTTTTCCCCCAGCATGTAAAATGTTTACTCTGCTGGATCGGCTATAAAGAGCCATTTCTCTCCTGCTGTTAAGACGTCCTGATTGATGCTAAAGAGACTATTGGACTCGCAACTCGTGCATGGTCCTCCAAACTTGACTTTCTACGTGGCCTGCAAATCACACCTCAGAGAAATTCCAATATAAACGATCTCCTTAAGTAGCTACCCCCTGCCCCTGCCATCAGTGCGCCCCTTGCATCCCATTCTCTATGTAAAGTAATACATTCGCTCATGCCCCAAGGTGCAATTAGCAATACAGCGAGCATCGTACCGCCATTTTGGATTATTTACGCCTGTCTCAAAAAACGCACAGCATTGGTACAAATGTTGTTATTAATATAAAGTATTGCTCACTCTGTCGAGGGCAGAGAAAGGTTAACTAGATCCGATGCTGCTGTGTTCATTAGCCGCAAGGCATTTTTTATTTTCTACAGATGCAAAGAAATGTAATGACAGGCGCATAATATTGACCTGAGGCCTACTGGATAAATAATATAACAGCCTTGTATGTATGCTGAACTTATTTGCACCGTACGTAACCAACTGTGCTATTCTATGCTCAGCATAATTGTGAATTTCTCTGTTACTGTGCCAATTACTATTATAGAATTTAGTTTGTTAATTACTCATTTTGTTATATTTGGAATTCCAAATGCCAAACGTGAAAATTCAGGCCATATTAAGAGATAGCTGAGTGGACTATTGCTCAGCTCAGAAAGTCTCAGACAGGGTCCTCAAAACTCCAGGCCTCATACCTGTCCATAGTTTAATAATGTACAGCTCTTTCTCAATCCTCTGCTGGATGAAGGCCACCCTGATGGAAGCCATAGCCTGGAAAATAACTCAGGCTTTACAGTGCAGTGCAATGACTGTTTTGCCACCAGTCACCCCCAGTATCGTTTAGCTGTCTTACAGGCAGTCCCCGGGAAGGGTTAGGTTTCCGAGAACGATGATTTGTAACCCGAATTTTCCATATATCATAAACTGAACAATTTCCCCCCAAAATCAACGATAAAATCCCATAGCCAGAAATAGTTGTGCCTCCCCTACTCGATTACTAGTTTGTTATCTCTCCGTACTGTATCGCTCTGCCGTGCGTTTTCTATCATTACCTGTAGCGTACCGTTGTACATACGCTCTGCACTTCCTATGATTCTTACATTTCATTAAATATCTACCCTAACACTACCCACAGTTAAACTAATGGAATATATACTCTATCCAATTGTTTATGAATACCATAAATCATTTTAATATTAATTGTTAACAAAAAGCAGTCACTTTCGAATGTTTGTTTACCGTGCATTAGGCCAGGCCTAGATTTCTTTGATCGCTGTTGACTGAGACCAAAAGCAATCAAAGTATAATTGTGTTAAATAAAGTACATACAATAAATAAACTTAAAATGAAGAAAACTAGCAATAGAAACAGAGGGTGAAATATAGTTCTAAGCACAGAAATCAAACAATTAGGTAATGCAGAGCAGCTATCAATTACTGCCTTGGGGAAGGATGCTGCCCGCCTTATGCCTTGCTTCGTAGTATTCATCTGCAACCTCACCGAGCTCCACTACTTACGCTTATGTAACTAACGCAAACATTTCCGAAAATTGCATTTTTTTACATGATTTATCGGAGCATTTTCGTAATGTCGGATTTCCATAAGTCGGGCCTTCTGCTACCCAGAGACTCACTGTATTTAATTTCCTTTACCAATTATCAAATGTGCAAAAGATTTAGACACTTAATTGGAATTTAATTGCCAAGTCGACAAAAGCCGGCCAAATAAAAAGAAATGCAGGCCAAGGTGGACACGATAACTATATTTTTGAAACCCATGGGATAGTTTACAGCATGGCCAGTGTGGTTGGTTGAAGATGAGTTTTAATATACTGCAGAAATAATAAGACTAGAGCGAAGACTACCAGATTTACGTGGACATTAAACAGGGTCTTTATGTGCCATTGTCATGAAAACCAAATACTGTATGGGGTATTGCCTGTAGTGGATACATTCACAATTCACCCTTCACAGGATAGTTGCCAATACATAACAAACATCACGTTGAGCCAGGACAGAAACCTCTGGGACAAAACTGCTCCATGCAAATATTTCACACATAGATGATGATGGATGATAATTCTATATATAGTTCGATAAAATGATGCTGTTATAAATAGATTTGATCAGTCTTGGGGTCTAATTATTTTCTAAAACCCATTTAATTTTAATCACAATACTTAATGCAAAGTATAATTTTACATTTTCTCAGTATGCTTTCATTGTCCTCTAAAGGTATGAAACAAATGTGACTATTAGAGTAATATTTTGAATTAAATGGAAGTAAAGTAATCACATTTAATCTGCATGCTGATTACATTTGAATGTCATTTAAATAAATATCGCATACAGTAATAGGGGTAGAGGTTGAGTTTAATGATGCTACTAAATACGGGAAGATGCCGTCGTGTTCATGGTTAGCCCATGGGACGTGGGACCTGTAATCATGGGACGTGGGACGTGTAATAATTTTCCCAGCACAGAAGTTGTAATCTTCCCACTTCTATAAACCCAGCAGTATAAACGAGTACACTAAAACTAAACTATTTTATTTTACCACTTTTTAGTCCACTGGCCACAAATTATAGCTGAACGAAGTGGCTTATCACGTGGACATTTATAGTAGCTAAATACCGGAGGACCGAGAGAAAAATCCACGTGCTCACGGGGAGAGAGACACGCAAACTCCAAATATACATGCGTCAGGGTCGGGATCGAACCCATGACCTTCTCCATACCACATGTGGTAGAGTAAAGTGTGGGTGCTCTGGCCTCTTGGAAAAGCTTCTGGTCTGAAGGAGGAGGCCAAAATGCCCTTGAGTGGAGGCACCATCTGTCAGTAGTGGCGTGACCAAGAAATTCCAGTGGCTGCACCTTCACGTTGTTGTGTTGTGTTTGTTGTCGTTGCCCCCGCACCTCCGATTAGCACGGTTTGCTACGTACGGTGCAAAAGAAGCTCAACATACATACACATACTATGGAAGCCAAATGCTCTAGAGTAGTAGGTGTTACTATTGGTGCTGCTATATCAAACAGCAAGAGTATATTGGCCTCTTCTTTCATTGTTCTGCAGGTGACAGCATTCCAAACCCTGTTCCAGAGACAGACCAAGAACTAAACTGTGTTATCACGGCCAAAATAGAAGGTAAGCCCCGAACACAAGGGAAGACGTCCCGACATGCACACCTTTCATAGCTCTAATCTGATTGCCATTGAATCGTGTGGTCATAACTGCTGTGAATATATCAAGCCACTAAGCGCATTGTCCGTACTACTAGCGTGACATTGCATTTTGCTAAGCCTAAGGAACGCAACACTCTCTTCAACATTACTGGTGGGAAACTAAATTTCACAAGAGACCTATATTCGGTCCATATTTTGTGCGCAAAATGTATCTTTGTTGGTGCCCTACCAACAAAGATACTGAGATGCCAAAGCCAACGTCAACTTAATAGCTTAATCCGACAGAATATTGATTTAATTATTGAAGTTGGAGACCTGAGTAAAATTAATATCCATACACACGAGTAGAAAAACATGTATCTGCAAGTCTATTGTATAATTTCTAAGCTTATATAAATTACAAGCTGCAGTAATACTCTATCTCAAATCGGCAGATTTTAAATCATCAGCCATGGTCAATTCACTACTGAACAAAGACCTCACGAAGCTGCCACCATACTTCATGATCCTGCAATGAATTTTTATTTAAAGCTTTCGTGACTGCAGGGATTCATATTCTTGGTTCTTTCGGTAAAGTCACGTAGAAGGGAAATAATTAAATAATATATATATAAAACGATACAAATTCTCAAGAAAATGTTCTTGCTGTGGATTTCACACCTGATGATGATTGCTTGTGTTGCAGTCGAAACGTCGTGAAAATGTTTATTGTTTTATATCAATATTATTTAATTATTTCCCTTCTACGTGACTTACCGAAAGAACCAAGAATATGATCCTTCAATTGTTCTTATAACGCTCAGTATATTATTCACCGATTCTTATTAATCGAAGTACATGTACAAATATGTACATTTAGTCAATTGTTTGTATAATTGTTATGTTCAATTGCTAAAATGGAATTGCATGCAATAATAAAGTCAAATCTTCTTCAGGCAGCCAATTAGCATGGCAGCAGAGCAATCTCTTCTGTTTTGTTTACTGTCGGGGGCCTAACCGCGTGGTGTGTTCACGCTGTTTTGTTGACAGAAATTTCAGCTCAGATAGTGGAGAAGGCGAAGGCCGGGGCGGTGGCCTTTTTGGTTGGCGAGTGTCAGAAGCAAACGGAGACGGCGTCGGCACACCGGGTAGCGGAAGCTGGTGAGATGAAGCACTCCTTGCGACGCACGCACGATTTGAGCAGCAGCAGCAGCACGCGCACTAACGAGCCGCGATGTTTCATGTTGTGCTGACAAGCGGAGAGTTCTTTTGCTGGCCTACAGAGACATCTGTTATAGGAGGAGAGTGGGTGCGTGCGGATGATGAAAATTCGCAACATTAAACTCTTTATTAAAAACGATCGTGGTCATTCGCTAAGAGTGTTGTTTAAATGTTGAAATTCTGGCCAAGAAGGATTAGAATAAACACAATTGGAATTTGGAATAATCATAAAGAAGTTGGACAAGAAACAGTTGATTTCATGCACAAACCACATATCTTGTATATATCACACTCATTGTGAAGTGAAGCAAATGGGCATTCGTGGGGAATGGCGGTTTAACAAACCGTTACCCCGATTCTGCCGCGGTGGCAAGATGTTAACTACCTCGCCGAGTATATAAGAGGTCGTGGGTTCAATCCCGACCCTGGCAACCTGTATATTTGGAGTTTGCATGTCTCTCTCCCCGTGGTCGCGTGGATTTTCCTCCGGGTCCCCCGGTTTTTCCCTCCACATGTAGAAACATGCGTTTAGAGTATTTGACTGCTGCAAAAAAAATTAACATTAATAAGCCAAATTTCGATTTAAAGCTTTCGTGACTGCAGGGATTCATCTTCTTGGTTCTTTCGGTAAAGTCACGTAGAAGGAAAATAATAAAATAATAAAAATAAAACATAATAAAATAATTCTCACGACGTTTCGGCCACAACGCAAGCAGCCGTCTTCAGGTGGAGAACAGGTCTGTTGTGAGCTATCATTTGTGGCCCGGTCGCTTTTCAACAAGAGCTATATAGCTCTGTGGGACGTACTTGGTAAAATAAAACAAATAAACAAGCGATGAACAAATCTAGTGACGGAATTATCAACACACTGAGAGTTGGAGATTGAACAAATGATTTGGGTAGATGTAAATTTTAGATCGTATCTACACTTGACAGGGGTCATGAGGATCAACAGTCAGGGCTCTCTCTTCTATCGGTCATTTGAGAATAGATGATGATCAATATTACTACAAACAATTTCTCACTGAAATCTATAATTCATGTACAGTTAAACTTGTGATGGCAATGCTAAAGTCACTGTAAACTTCAGCGACATATTAGATTAATCTTACAACTGGATATGCTGTTGACGGTTTTGTGATTTAATATTTTGCACTGTTCTGTGCGTTTCATTCAATACCGTTAGGTCTAGCGTTAAACGCTTACCTAATGTGTTGATTCGAGTACTTAATATGAAAATAGCCAGAACACTTTTGCAGTACAGCATGCTTTAGACAGTCGTGGTGCTGTATTTAGAAAGTGCAGATAACAGCCATTATAGAGGCATCTGATGGCAGAATTTCTTTAGTACTGCTGGTACTGCAACAAAACAAACAATAAAAAAGCAAACGCCCAGCTTAGTGAACTCCAGGAGCTAAATTGTGCTGGCGAAACGCTCACATTGACAATGAAACATCGCTGTGCTTGCTGTCAGAAACTGTGTCCACGTTGGCATCTAATTGGCTCATTGTGTGCAGATCACCAACCCCCATCTGCTGGCAGTGTCAGTCCACCAGCAGCAAAAGCATCATCAGCAGCAACGCGGGACAAGTCAAAGAAGCAAACGCCGAAAGGTAGAAATTTGCTCGGAGAAAATCACACGTCCTTTCAAAAGCCAGTGGCTGTGTGTGGCCGCTTGCGGCCGAGGGCAGTTGACGTGGGGGAGAGTGCCTCGCGAATAAACGTCTTGTATGCGGTGACACCAGCTCACACACGGTGATTCGGGTTAAATCCCAGACACAATGGGGATTACATCGAATTGCAGTCATGGTGAATGGGAATAAGTAGCAACTGGAAAGCCGTGTGCTGATGACCACTGGATGCACTTTCGTGAGTAGATTGGGTTAATTCAATCAATTCGTCAATCTTCTGTGCCATTACGTTGGATAAGAGCTGAGAACATAGGCATTTCATTCGGGAAAGAGGCGTACACACCAGCAAGGCGTATTGCTTTGCGTATTAAAAATGTGCCAGGTTGTGTGCAGTACAATGATAATGGAATATACAGTAGGGAAGGAAAAAAACCCACAGCTGTTTGTGTAGGGAAAAAATAACTGAGCATAATGGTGGTGTCATGTGGTCTGAATGAAAACATGTTACCTTTGATGTTGATCTACATGAGTCCAAATTACAAGCCAAGGTTACGTGGGTTTTTCAAGGATTGCAAAATCCCTTGCATCCTGGATTATTTGCCCGTTAAGTATGCTACATAGAGTAGTGGTAATAATAATATAATACAATTTCTAATGACCATGACTCCATTTGTGTGCGTAGGTAAGATTCAGATATATGTCTTTGCAGGGTAGAGGAGAATGGTAAATTACCCCACAACAGAATTGATTTCTCCGTGGCCACCACTTACGCCTGCATGCGAAACAGCAGCCCCGTTGCTGACGCTTTGCAGATCGTTAATGTTTCTCGTACAGTGGCACCCCAATGCGATTGTACAGTCATTGGGGGCCCGAACTATGCCTCGGGCTTTTTCAGTAGTGAACCACAACGGCTGCAGGTGGCTACATTTACACGAACGCGATGCTGATGCATAATGCATGCTACTTCACAGCGGTACCATTCGGAATAACCGTCCAATTAGTATGCGTCGTGTTGGATGTAAGGAGCATGTCCTCTGCCCGAGCATTCTCCTGCTCAGACGCACTTTTCTCGGGGTGCAGCCCATGTCACAGAAGACTTCAAACTCTGGTCTTCTTTATAGGGTGAGTAGGTCAACCAATGTTTTCAGATGACTAAACTCAGGTGGTTGCGGGTTAAATAGTGGCAGTGAAATGTCACCTAATGGTGACTTTAAATACATTTTTGGTTGGGAAATTCGGCCAGAGAAAATTACCAGGTTTTTTCCTCCCCCACCATTCTTGCAATTATGGTCGATACCAGTGTGAATAGATACACTTTGTTACAAATATTTGGCAGGGTCAAGGTGCTCTAAGTCTAGTTTAAAATATAGCCTCCGTAAGGCCAATTGATGTATTTTTTTATATCTGTTAGTTAACGGTGACATCTGGCAAAAGCCAATGTGTGGATATAGACAACGCGTGTCAGATCATTGAACTCCGTCGTCTACCTCTCTGTTCTGTGTATAAACGAGCATTGCATTAATTGTTTACTTAAAACTTTCGTGGCTGCAGGAATTAATATTCTTTGTTTCTTTCGGTAAAGTCACATAGATAGAAAAATAAAAATAAGAGTGAATAAAAATAAAAATTATCTTAAAAACAATAATATTTTTTTAAACCATTAATGTAGACTGTAACCTGGTTCTTAATCGGAGTGAGTGTACTGGCAGTCTGCTAGATGGAGCTCTAGAGCCCTTATGGAAGATATTTGGCCTACTCTTGCATGCTGGCCTGACTCGTCTTGGAAGAGGTTGGAGAACCCACACGTTACCCAACCACATGCAATCTGCCGATCGATTAACTGTGGTGAGCCCGTCCAATACTACTGGGCGCGCACAGAGGCACGGGAGGATTTAACAAACTGACATCAACGTTTTCAACTGCCGTGCTGGGAGGTCAAATCAGTGACTTTTGCATTGTCGGTGTGGTGTTCACATCGCCGCATTAACATCCCAGAGCATTATGTAGCACTCTGAAAATCGTCTTATAACTCGCTAAACTTTAAGTAATTAAAAGTTTCATTTGTATTTATTACATCCATAGCTGGAAGATCCCAACAGTATTAGCGATTACATATTGTTTACATTTAAAGTGTTATAGATAGACCCGTGTTCCTGATTTATATATAAAACGAGCGGGAAGTACCCGGCGTTGCCCGGGGGAAAAAATAGAGTTCAAAACTTCTCTTAAAAACAACATATACATATTTTTGGTTCTTTTGGTAAAGTCACGTAGAAGGGAAATAATAATAAAATAATATAAATAAAAAACAACATTCTCTTGCTGTGGATTTCACACCTGATGATGATTGCTTGTGTTGCAGTCGAAACGTCGTGAGAATTTTTATTGTTTTATATTAATATTATTTTATTATTTCCCTTCTACGTGACTTTACCGAAAGAACCAAGAATATGAATCCCTGCAGTCACGAAAGCTTTAAATCTAAATTTTACATATACATACACAAGTACTAAGCTATTGTGAAAGCCCGGCGTTCCATTTGTCTGTCCATTTGTCCATCAACAAATTTATACGAGGTTTGAAGAAGTCTTGAATCCAAAAGTAATAGAAAGTGGTGGGTAAATAGTTGATCTAGAAGGTTTCCGAAAATTGTTCACCTTCCCCCCCTCCTCAAAAAATATTTTTACCCCCCTTTGGGCATATATACAGTACCTACACACCCTACATACTATAGAGTGAGTAGTATCTAGTGACTCTACAGTAGTATCTGGCTCTACAGTCGTATCTGGCTCGACAGTAGTATCTACTGAATCTATCGTAGTGTCTATTGACTCTATAGTAGTATCCGCTCACAATAGTAGTATCTGCTGACGCTATAGCAGTATCTACTGACAGCAGTATATTCTGACTATAGTGGTATCTACTGACTGTACTATTGTACTATTACTGTACTATTATCTACTGACTCTATAGTGATATCTACGGACTCTACGGCACTATCTACAAACTCTATAGTTGTATCTATTGACTCTGTAGTAGTATCCACTGACTATACTAGTAACTACTAACTCTATAGTAGTATCTGCTTACTCTATATCAGTATCTACTTACTCTATAGTAGCCTCTACTGACTCCGCAGTAGCATCTCCCGACTTTACAGTAGTATCTACGGACTCTACAGTAGTATCTACCGACTCTACAGTAGTATCTACTGACTCTACAGTAGTATCTACCGACTCTACAGTAGTATCTACCGACTCTACAGTAGTATCTACTGACTCTACAGTAGTATCTACTGACTCTACAGTAGTATCTACCGACTTTACAGTAGTATTTACTGACTCTACAGTAGTATCTACCGACTCTACAGTCGTAACTACTGACTCTATACTAGTTGAATAAATTGTCAGAAGTGAGCAGGTTGGAGTATTTTTGGAGAACTTAACTCAATAATGAGCTGCACCTTACCAGGGAGCCGATGGATAAGGTTTTTTTTTTATTTGTGTATATACCCTGCTACGTTATGGATCAAAAACTTGGGTATTGTCGAAGAATATAAGATACAAGCCGAAGAGTGCATTAAGTTTGGAGATGTCGAAGTCTAGAACTGTTGCCATTAGAGACAGGAAGAGGAACTCATGGGTTAGGGAACAAATGCAAACAAAGGGAAGATAGTCGGTGTTTGAGGTTCATGGTGGAGTGGCAGCCAAAAGAGGCAACGTTGATTTTTCTGATGAAGATTACTGTCCTTAAAACTAAAAGTTTTAATTAGTATATAAACATAAAATGAACACTGCTATACTTGTATGTATGTTGAACTTCTTTCGCGCCATACTGTACATAGCCAACCGTGCTAATCGGAGGTTCTTGACGATTATATAGCAGATACTTAAATCTTTCTTTGGGTTGATCTTGTCAGAAACGTCATTATATTCAGTGACATGTCTGTGTGACAAAGGACGTCATCTTAATGTGCAGGTAGTACTGCATGTACCTTTAATTCTAGTGAACACCATTCGCTAACATGTATTACATTTAGTTTGTATGGATTGGGAACAAAGTTTTATTGTGTGATGCCGCTTCATTTCTAATCAAACATCAACTAACTCCTGTGAAATGTTTTCCTTCTCTCTCTCTCATATAATTTCCCCTTTACGTTTGGTTGCTTTTGACTTTTATTTACTTTGTACTACTTGTAGATAAAAACAGTCACTCAGCAAACAACACTTTTAAGGTGGTGACCTGTAGCACGGAGGGGAGAGAAGACGCCTCAGTGACGGCTAACATGAGTCTCAATGGCAAACAAAGCATAGAGGCTTCTTCGTCCGCCACGGACGGCCAAGAGGACAAAAGGTTTGATGGTCCGTACGGCGTTGCATCAGGGCAGGAAATGAGTACCGATGCCAAGCGCTTGCAGTGAGCAAGCGGACGCGCCCTCCAGGCTCATCGAACCGGTAGATTTCAACAAAGGCCACACTTCACCATCGGTCAGTGGCAAGGACAAAAGCCGCGATGCACAATTTTCAGAAATCGACAGTTCGCTGTCCAACGCTCGGCCTGACGAATCTAAACAGTTCGCTCCCGAGCGGAGTAGTACTCCCCAGCAATTGACCAGCACGAGCACTTCCGAAATCCCTCCAATCCCGGCGACAAGGGACATCCACGCTTTGCAGCTGCGCAGGGAGTGTTTTCAGGGCGCCGATGAGGCATCTGAGAGCTCTGCAAGTCCTCACATGCTCATGGGTGGGAAAGCAAAACCCTCGCCGCACACGGAAGGCAGAACGGGTTTCAAGACGACATCACCTGGTGACGTTGCAAAAATGCCAGACGTTATACCTGATGGGCATACTGACGAAAACAGTTGCACACACTCCATTGCAGATGATGTCATCCACAAAGGGCAGCAAGCAGCGCTGATGAAGGAAGCTCACCATTCCTTTGACGCTTCGTCTTTTTGGCCGAACGATATAGCAGAGCCTTGGGAGGAAAAGAGACATGAACACGGACATCATGACCATTTTTGCAACACGACGGCACAATTGAAGATGGAAACAATTAGCGAGGATGATTTTACAGGAGGGAAGAGCGATAAAACCGACGTCGGTAAATATTCCGCGGATGCACAAAACCTGACTGCAGGCTGCACCGACACAGGCTTAGGGAATGTTTCAATGAACGAAACATCGGCGAAAAAAAGTGCCTTTACGAGGGCAAACACCATGCCGCACTTTTACGAGTCTGAACCTGGCGCAGAAAAGGCTGGAACGGGGGGCTCTGTTGCTCGCAGTGAAAATCAATCACTCCCATCTTCGTTGGGAAAGCCCCAAATGGGCGATGGTCAAAAATTAGGGAGGCAGATGTCAGAACAGTGCTTTGGGCAGAAGTTAGACAGCTATTACAAAGACTGCGCTAAGCCCCCTGACTTTGATTCTAAACCATTTGTTTTGGCTGATTATAAAAGAAAGATGGATGCCGGAGAGGGCTCGCGGATGAATACTGACCCGTTACATGAATTGCTGACAGGCGGTTTGGGCATTTCAAGTGAGCCGGGCACTGACAATTCTAGCAGTGCTCCACAAGAAGGGAATAAGGAAGCTAGGTCAGGTGAGAGCATAAGCTCTGTGCAGGAAACAACTGTTAATACACGTTCTCCAAAGCACCTTGAAACCACATATATGCCCACTGGCTTTGTATGTGCTGAGCAGAAAAAAAGCCCCAGTATCCTGGACAGCGAAGACAATATCGAACAGATGGCAGCGCTGCAACAATGCATTGGGAAGAATGCATTGCATAGTCCAGGAAAGGCTAACATCCACGAAAAGGATTCAAGAAAATCAGTTGAGTCTTCGGTCTGTCGTGGCAGTGCTAAAGAAACATCTGTGGAAAGTGAAAAAAAGCAAGATAAATCTGAAATGAAGGTGGGAAAAGCTGGAAATGAACAAACATTGACAGGCGATTCAGAAACGAGTTTACACACCAAGAAAGATGACGCACCCGATGATGGTGCGGTAAGGTCAATGCATTCATATTTACTTGAGGATAAATCCCAACCGATAATACCGATCGTTTCGGAATATGCTGTGGCATCCAAGTCATCAATTTCGCAGCTTAAATTGGATGAGTACGCACCAAAAGCAGTGGATTCGGAGTCTGACGTTAGCTCAGAGGATGAGCTACAATGCAATGTAGGAAAGCAGCCAGGAGCTGTGCTATCTGAAGGCTTCCTAAGCACTGAGGTCAAGGCCGACGCAAAAAAGTCACCTGCTTACCACAGCCTTTCGAGACTGTCTCCGCTGGAGACGGAAATTTTGTCTGAACTGCAGGACGACGAAGGCAGCAACGACCAATTCTCCGGCGCTAGAAAAAAGATGACGTCAGAGGGCGCACAAGGGAACGTGGCCTTTAACACGGAGAAGAAATCACAACGGAAAAATGATGGCTCCAGCGGATTTCAGTTCCAGCACATCGCGCAAGACGAGGGTTCATCGCTTCCCTTCGTTTTTCCAGCAAAGGGGCAAATGCACAACGTGGAATACTTGGAATTGAATTCGGCTGCTTTGAAGCCCATTGCTGGCTCCGCATATTTAAAGGAAGATGACTCGCGCATGCCAGAAAAAAGCGTTCCGTTAAGCAAAAACCCGAAGGACCCTCATCCAACGGGCGAGAGCGTCTCATTTTCCAAAGAACAGATGCCTGGACAGGACACTATTTCAGCTGATGAGAATAAAGAGGGAGCAGGAGACTTTGCTGACCGTGGAGGATCCTAATAACATTTTCAGTTCTCCTTTAATGAAGTCGGACCTTCCTGTGCTAAATTATCGAGATGATGATTATCACCCCGCCGGTGTTTTATTCGAGAATGTTACGTCTGGGAAACCTCGAGCTGCAGATAAACCTGGGAAGATAAAATACTCACAAAGTGTGGATGTTAACACTGCATTGTGCCGAAATGACCGCTCATTTGAAGGGGGTGAGGAATCTTACCTTTTCCCCTGTGGTCCCAGCAAGACTCATTTGTCGGTGGTGGGTGAATTAGACAAAACCTCTCATGTGGCACGCACATCCCCTTCATCTACAGACAAAGTCACAGACTCTAAAGATGTACTTGCTGATAGTTCGACAGACGCAACCAATATTTCATCTGCACTTGGAATCACGAAGTTTGGCAGCGGAATGAACGTGCCCAATAAAATATCAGCGCAAGTCAACGCAGACGAGAGTCCTAAACATGCACGGGTAGAAACCACGTCACGTACGTCACACGCTGGTAACATTCATCCTTTTGAAAGCAAAGAGCAGCACCAAGAGAGGGAAAACAAGGAGGCATGCCGATCCTCGCAGGAAAGTGTCGTGGGTAAAAATACCGCAGAACACGAGAAAGCTGGAGACAGCCAACGCTGTGCACGGGGAATTTGACGGAGATCAAGTGGAAAAGATGAGCCTGGAAATCATGCAAGGTACTGGTTTTAAAGTCTACATTAATATGTTTCTAAAATGTAAAGGTATTGGTTTTAATATCTACATTAATTTGTTTTCTAAAATGTATTCTCTACATTCCATGTTGGCTGTATAGGTAACGCTCGCAAATGATACGAAATAGGACACAGTTAATTAACAGGGGCAACAATTATAGAGGTTACCGTGTTGAAAATTTACCACCAGCCAGTGTGGATGTATTCTCAGTGTCCCATTTTCAGAAAGTGTTTGAGCACGTGCATTTGCAATGCAATATTTAAGTACAATGCAATATATCTTTCAATATGAAAAAAAAATTGTTGATACTGCATTGGAAATGGTGCACAAATTAAAAAAAACATGTTTTATTTTGAAGACAGTGTGACCTGTGAAATGTATTGCTATACAATCATGGCATTGTGCTCATAAATAGTGAAGACAATTTAAAGCGTGACAGATTATATTAGCCAACGCTTAAGACTGCTGTATGAGATGTTAACTACCTCGCCTGGTATACAGGATTGCCGTGGATTCTATGCCGACCCTGACGCCTGTATATTTGGAGTTTGCATGTTCTCCCCATGGTCACGTGGATTTTTATCCCGGTTTTCCCTCCACTTTTAGACACATGCGTTTAGAGTATTTGGCTGCTATATATTTCCACATCATAAGCCACTTCATTGAGCTATCATTTGTGGCCAGGTCGCTTCTGAAAAAGAATGATATAGTTTAGTGGGGCTTACCTGGTCAAATAAAAATAGTTTCATCGTTTAGTTTATAATTTGCTAATGTAACGTTTTCTATTTTCTTGTAATATTGACACCTTTCCAGTGAAATTATTGTATTTAATCTGTTGTTTAATCCTGCTTTCTTGACGGGCAGAGGCTTATCGACGGCGGAACATTAATTGTTAAGCAACATTAATGCGAACTAATTCTTATGAATAAAATTGGTCGCGAAAGCCTACGTGTTAAATTAATTCTTATCGTTGAAAACAGTGGATGCATTTTCTACTCCAACGATAGATAATATTGCGCACAATACATTTTCCATAAAAAATTACAATGGTTATGTGGCAATAGGAGATTTAAACCAGCGTTTTCACGAGCCAATACATAGCATGTAGCGCTCATGGCGGTATATTTAAAATCAACAGCAATATGTGAAAATGGCATTGTGTGGACCAATCAGTTTCAAGGACAATGCATATATTATCAGAGTATTTTTTTGTTTGCATTCTGACCACAAGCATTGTGGTTAATGCAGACATGATTCCTTGTAAAAGTTTTCAGTTTGATGTTTTAACATCTAAACACCTGTTTTATTACCAGAAAAAGGGGGAAAAAGCTATTATGACATGAATACTGTACGTAAAAAAAAATGTCATAACTAACATTAATCGTGAGACATCACAATTGTACTAATTGTTGCCTGAAGAGTTATTTTCGTGTATGTTTTACGTCGCTGAGGGGGTCTCCTTTGAGTTACCAAGCTGTTTGCTTTAACAAGTTGGCTTTCGCGAGCAATATGATCCATAATAGAGGCTTTTTGGGTTAGATCGCGGAAATATATAAATGTGTCGTTAAAACCCGCCACCACCCGACACAGCCCCAACTAGTAAGGGTTGTCATGTAAACGGAACGTGCCAATTCGTCACTAGTACAGCACACCGGTGTGTTGGAGAGCCAAGCCATAACATTTATAATCTGAGTACGACGTTTCGCCAGTAATTACAACTAGCTTCATCAGGCGACTGCCAGATTTGTGGAGAAGCCCACCTGTTTCGCTTCGTTCCTGATTTATCAAGCTGTTTGCGTTACCATGTGTGAAAGTGGAGCTTAAAATTATATTCTTTCCTTGCCTGTTGTTGTCCGACATTGCTAGACAAAAGCACAGCAGATGAGACAATCCCTTTGCAAAGCACCGGGGAGCTAGACAGCCACGTGGACACTTCTGGGACTGCTCCGGCAACAGGTGCACGCGGTGCAGGAGGGAAAATGGCAGAGGAGCCATTAGGAGGCGAGGAAAGGAAGGAGGCAGATGACAAGGCTTCTTGCGTTGTGCATGAAGAGGAATCCCTGAAGAGTCCAAAAGCAGGGGCAAACAAGGCAACGTGCAGCAATAGTGGGAAAGTCCGGGCAGATGCCCTGCACGAACGCGTTCCCGAGGAGGGCAAACACCTCGTCAAAGCCGATACCGATGGACATGGGGAAAAAGTTTCGACCAAAAAGGAGCAGCTCCCAGTCGTGGGGAAAAACGCTCTAAATGAGAGTCAACAGAAGTCTGAGGTGGATCAGAAGGCAAGCAGAGGGGGCGTGCAGGAGGGCGGGATGGAATTGGTCTCGGATCGGGAGAGGAGGAACAGCAAGCCACTGGAGAAGAGGTCGTATACGAGCACGCCGGAGAAAGACAAGCAGGAGAAAAAACGGAGAAAAGGTTTCCAATCACACAAAGAGTAATCGCAGTGTCATGTTGCTACCCGTGAAAGAAATCGGTGTTTGTGTGCGGCATAGTCAGAACCACGAGTTGTGAAACTTGAGACTTGCCAGCCTTTTTTGTGCATTTTGCTTCGTCGTAATGAAACCATTTAGAGGTATCCCAAGTGCATTTAATTTAAGTTTACCCTATTTACCGCTTACACATTCACCACATTTAACGACCGCTTGCGTGCTTGTGCTTACATTATTTAATTAATTACGTAGCTGTGTTTTCAACGCAGAGAGTGACACACGCTCTAAACGCTCTGCGCTTACCATCGCTGCCCCCCCCCCCCCCCCCCCCCCAGGGTTGCCACCTGCCTGTGTTTGACCCGGACATTCCAAGAATTTGGCATCTGTGTTCGGGTGCCACGAATTGTATTGTACCGAGATCTGGTGGTAATCACTTTGAACTTCATCACAGTCGACTGCACAGTTCTGATCGACCTAGACCAGGGGTCGGCTACCTGCGCCTCTGGAGCCATATGATGGCTCTTTGGCTGCCCCCTAGCGGCTCTTTGGCTGCTGTGTACCTGTTATGTATGTGTGGATGGGTACAATTCGCTTCTGCGTGTTCGATGCGGCTCTCGAAATATTTTGGTCAAAGACAAAAACGAAAAAAATGGGCTCTGCTTCTTCTTCTTTGAAAGGTCGCCGATCCCCTGACCTCGACTGACTGAGAAATAAGTTCGTATTTGGTCTACGGTAGAAAAGGTGGCAACCCTTATTTCCCCCAACTAACACGGACGCTTGCAAAATGTGTTTGTCCTTTGATTTATTTTGCCCTCTGTGCACTGACCCCTTAACCGCCTGCCTGGCTCGGCAGTGAGTAAGAAGGGGGATGTGGCTAAGAGAGCCGAGGTGCGGTGTAGGTCCCCCGGCAGGCCTGCTAACAGGAGCCAGCGGGCAATGCTGCAGGGTTCAGCCAAAAGACGGCAGAAAGGTGACGTGCCTGGCGCATGTGCCTAGCCATCTGTACCTTTGCGTGTCAAGCCTGTGAACATACACACGCAGTCTGTCCTCTGATTTTTCACATTGTGTAAATGTCCGTGGTTTATATGCTCTGTTTTTTGGTTTATTTGAAGCATGACACTTCACTTGTGCAGAATACCTTTCCGTAAAATATTTCTGTTTTTCTCGGTCTTTCCTCAGCACCACATACACTTCTTGACCTTACTACCGATGGGCATACGTTATCGCTGCCCCATCTTTGTTACGTCCTTATTTCTGTCCATTTTAATTTTCTTTGTAAAAATGACAAAGGTGTGGGACACATCTCTTTAAATAACTCGTCAATTCAATGCCGTTTGAGAATAATTTCTGTCTTTATTGCTGCCACTCATGCTCAGACTGTTGTATAGGTAGAGACATTTGACGTCTGGCAGGTAAAGGACAATTGGTAATACTCCTGGCCATACAATTCTCAGACTATCTGGACTCCAGTGGGACAGTGTGCTTTGTGCCCCACTGATGAAGACTGCTTACTTTATGATACGTCCCACATACTCCTGGGCCTACAGGGAGCCTACCCTGCCATCTTCACCAAGAAAGCAGGTTACTACCGTGTCATTGCCGAATTGCCGCTCGCTCCTGCCAGCGTTACTCACGGCCACGCGTTGTTGTTTACCGCGGTGCTTTCATTTGTTTTCATTTCATTTGCTGAAATACGCGGTCGTGTTCAATGTTGTCCTGCACGAAGTGTGCAGCATTGGTGAAGCATAAAACACCTCATTCCTCTTCGTGCCTTCATGCACGGTGCGGTCCTCGCTTACTCTGGGCCAAATGAATAATAACAAGTCACATTTTTTTTGTGCGAGAAAAGTTGTTGCCTTGCAGAGCGTAACTTATTACGTTGTTTTAAATATACAAGGTTCTTCGGACCTGTATCTAAGATCAGTGTAATAATGCGCTTGTGTTGGCTCTGGATAGAAAAAAAAAGCTGACAGGTGAAGGTGCAACGCTTAAAGTGTGTAAGTGGGATAGGGGTTTTCGCTGTGGCCCTGTCTAAATGTCTCGTGTTTGACGGGCAAGTGCCATGGCCACGTGAAATCATGCAACAGCTACTGTAAACGTACATTCATAAGCTGCCCCATAAGTTATATTAAACTGGAGTTTTGCAAACATCAAACTAAACAATTTAGAAAGTTACTCAAATGTTTGCGTAATCAAGCAGAACGTCTGTAATAATGGAATTCCTGTTTAATGTTAATGTATATAGCATCAGCGGTGTTGTTTGCCTGGCTGACTCTGGTCTACGTGTGACGTGTCTGACCACACGACACAATCGACGTCTGAAATTTGCTGATTATCATTCCGCTCACGTTTAATGTGCAAGGAAACATTTCTGGCCAATACCACAACGTGACTTACCCCCCCCCCCCCCCCATGCTTGTAATGTTGTCCTTTGCATGTGAGGGGCTCATTTCTCCACATCTGCCGTGCTGATAGGGTTTTGTAAACTGCACGCAGATTGGTTGATTGCGGTTTCTGCGCGCACTTTACTTACACCGTGTGTCGTTCGGCAACAACGCGCACGGTTAACGTGAGCCACGTTGCACTTGAGTACGGCACTTTGTCCCAAGCGCCTTGGATTGAGCGGCGACCTCAATGCCTAAGTGGGAGTTCACTGCTGGCTAGGGAAATGAAAGCTGCAGTGTCCATACATTTTAATAGGGCACAGTGAGCGTTTAGTAACAAAAAAAGGTGCAGGATCTCTGTTTATTCGAAGACACTTTTGCGGTAAACTAAATTTGTTTACACAGCACCACGATTTGATGTATGCAGCTGTTAGCCTGTTTTTCTCTCTATAAATGCAAGAAGACAATACCCTAACAATGATCCACGTTTGTAGATCTTTATAATAGTAAATTTGATCACTTAAAAATTCCAAACACTAGGTTTTACAATCTGAATTGATATTTAAACTGGAGCAATTCAGTCAAAAGAGTTGAAGATTTTAACTGTGGACTATCTATATTCTTGGTTCTTTCGGTAAAGTCACGTAGAAGGGAAATAATCAAATAATAAAAATATAACACTTTTTTCAAATTTTCTTGCTGTAGATTTCACACCTGATGATGATTACTTGGGTTGCAATCGAAACGTCGTGAGAATTTTTTATTGTGTTATATATTTTTTATTTTATTATTTCCCTTCTACGTGACTTTACCAAAAGAACCAAGAATATGAATCCCTGCAGTCACGAAAGCTTTAAATCAAAATTTGTGGACTATCTGTTAACGCCACTCAAAAGCATTCATTAATTTCCAAACGTGAAAAAAGTCCTGTCTATTTTCTTTAAGCAAAAATTGTGAATATCTGTGTGCATTTGAAATACTTTTTAAGAAAAAATACATTTTATTTTCAAACTGATTTCCACTTGTGTTTTGTAAAGGCTTCCACGATGCAATTGTTTTGTCATTCATTCCGGACACACAAAGCAATTGTCTTTTTTTTTTGTACACGTTGAGCAATTCCAAAAAAGTTCACGACTACCTTAGTCGACTGCTAATGACCTTGTACAACTGTGCCGCATTTGTGCGCAGTTCCACGTAGAGTTTCCAAAAAAAAAAAAACTTGGCAACGGTTTCTTACGACCCTGTGTTTGTTCCCATTCAGTTCAATCCAAGGCCGGTGACGGTAAATCTGTGGAGGTCAGTCCTCGGAAAGAGACTCCTTCCAGCCCGATTAAGAAGCCCAAGGTGAGCACTGCATGCATGGAAACACCCGTCACATCTTATCACTGTTTGCATGCCAATCTTGGTTTATCATTATGATCTAGCTTTATCTCGTACTGCCTTCACTATAAACCATGGCCAGTAAAACAAGGCCTTCTTTTGTTTCGCATCTGCATTCAATTGTGCACGTTTAATTTGTTTTCCTGATTATGCCTTGTTTTGCACAACTCTTATGCACTTTCCTTTGTGTCCACAAATCAGTTCAGTCTGGCAGCCGTGCAATTTCTGCAGGCTAGCTTGCCTTTGCGAATGTTTCTCTCGACTGCACTTTTATTCAAACCTGTATTTTCCATTGTTGTCGCATGTAGCTTCCAGTCCCAAAAAGTCAGGCTCTCCCCATGGCGGTCAAATGCAAAACACCTCCGGACCCGTCGAAACAAGTCCCATCACGTCCTGACAGATCGGCTAAAATAGCCATGCAGACTTCGCACATCTCAGCCCCTATCAGCACCGGCTCTGCCCAAGTGCGGCCTGCAGTACGGAAGGAGCAGGTGAGACAGAGCCAGGCGTGTGGTTTTGCCCAGGGCTCTGCCTCTGAAGAGGTTTCTACCTACATTTTCCAGGGCTCCATTTCTCAATAATTTTAGGTTGCTCTCTTTAAGCAGTTTGTAGCACAATTTATCATCCTCTGAACTCGACGATAACAAAAAAAAACTTAGCTTAAAAAATATATAATTTCGATGCAATTCAACGTATCAAGTGGCATTCTGACAACACTGCTTGTTGGATTTTTTTCGTATTTTAATCCAAGAAAATAAAATGTCAAGATAATTTTTATGAGTCCAGGATTTATTTTTTCATTTACAATACTTTGTGAGAGAGATGCGCACTGAAAAGGCACGTGATTAGTACGCGATGAGGACCCCTGCCTGACGAGCGGCAGGGGTCATTGACACTTGGTGTTAGAGTCGGCAAGCTGAGTGACCTTCAGGTATTCAGCTCACCTCTTAAGTCCCAAGACTCTGTTTCTAAATGTAATTTTGATCCCCGTGACAACATGGCCTTAAGCCATGGGCAGGGATGGGTGCCACGGTGTTGCGAGATGTTAACTACCTCGCCTGGTATACAGGAGGTCGTGGGATCGATCCCGTAGCCTGACGCCTGCTGTATATTTGGAGTTTGCATGTTCTCCCCGTGGTCGTGTGGATTTTTCTCCGGGTCCTCTGTGTTTTTCCCTCCACATTTATAAACATGCGTTTAGAGTATTTACAGCTATACATTTTTTAACCATAAGCCGCTTCGTTGAGCTATCATTTGCGGCCAGGTCGCTTCTAAAAAATAGCGAGATAGTAGCTCAGTGAGTTTTACTGTAAAAAACAAAAAATAGTTTAGTTTGAGTATTTTTATTTATAGTGATTTCCTTACCTTGTTGCGCTCCTGTCGTTTTATTGTAATGTCGATAACATTTTATATAATAGGTAATGTTTCTAGAATAGGTAATGCACCTAAAACCTGGTGGTCTTCTCTGTGGAACGCGTGGGAGATTAGCGAGGAGTGCAGATCGTTAGAGCAAATGGAGCCCTCTGAGAGAATGTGTGGTAAAAACATGAACGTCATGGAGATGCTCTCCGCATGCAACATTCATTAACAGCGACTAAGTGTTTTTTTTTTATCAACAAAATTGTAGGCTGGTGAGACTTCAGCCTACTGCTAACAAACTGACAATGTTTCATTAACATTAAGCGTCATGTGGCTGTGTGGGTAGAAGGCTAAACGGGCCGATGTCCGTGCTCATGTCAGAATCAGAATCTTTAGACTGGAGAAATCCGATGAGCTATGAAGCTATTTTTAACAGATGTCCAGCTGCATGTCCAGGACCCATGATATCCTGTGCCAAATCCAGAGCTGAGCCGGGTTACTGCTCAGATCAGGAAGAGACTCATTTGCATTCGTTAAACTACCACAAATATCTCACCGTTGGACCCATTGCAAAAAAGTATTGAGACTCATAGCTCTCCCGGCTAAAAATCGGCATTACCGTATGATTACTCTTATTCTGTTTCACTGTTTCATTCGAATGAGGACTAAAAAAATAAGTGCACTATTGTACATCGTTGTGTAGTCAGCTTTGACTTTGAGAGCGGCAAACAGGCCAATGCCGTATGAATCAAGTTAAGTTATATCAGCAAAAAATTGGAAGGAGAACGGCAGAGAATGATGTCCTGATTAAGGCAAATGCAGTCAGCTGACAGGTTGATGGTGGGTGAGAGCCATGGGCACTGGTTGTGCTGTGGCTTATTGTTTTAGTGGAGCCATAAAGGACCTTCCTTTCGGGCACGGAGGGTGAGTTACGACAAAGAAATGATGTTTTGCCCTTCAGCTGATAACTGGCACAGAGCCAGAGATGGGGAAACCTAAAGGACGTAAGTATGGATCCTAAAATATGAAGGTTCTGAAATGTACTTTAAATGAGCATATCAAGTTGTATTTTTATATTGAGTATATTGTTTTACTACAGTATGTCAAACACAAATTTCCTTTAAGGATTCTGAATAATTATGTAGCAGTCATTTTCACAAGCTCGTCTATGTTTGACCGAACATGCCTGCTATTAAATAAGAAAAAAAATCCAGGTAAATTTACACGACATCTCGTGTGGGGCAGCTCTAATCTCCAGTGTGCAGTGCTGAGCCAGACGTGGTGGAAATTCCTCTTTCCTATGGTTGAGGCGAGGCTTTTTATTGAACAACCACTTGCTGACTCCTCCACAAAGTGGTACTCACGATAGCAACCCTAGAGGGATAAAACGAGTTGCCAGCCGCCGAGATATGAACGTGCAGCCTTGCGACTGTAAGCATTGCATTCACTGCAGTGCGCACTTTCCGATGTGCTTCTGATATTAGGAAGCCACTGAAGCTATGCACTTTTACATGTAAATTTTAAACTCATTTATTTAGAACTGCTTTTTGTGCAAAGTTTGTTGTCCTTCCCCCGCAACCTCAGAACGATTGGCTACGTACGGTGCAAAAGAAGTTCAACATACGTACAACACAGATACTGCTGCGCCACCTGGGCCATTGGTGTTAATGGAAGGCAAATATTCCGATAATGTTGCTTGTTAAAAATGACAGAATGCAGCATCAGCACACACACACACTCACCCAGCAGTTCTCATCAGCCGCATAAACTTACTGCCACGGTCACTGGAATAGTGGAGCCGTGTTGTTGGCACCAATACAGCCGCTGGTGTTTTGTCCTGTGGTGGAATAACTGCTGAGTTTGTTTATTTTTGTTGTTGTAAAGTTTTCAAATGTCCCGAGCTTTTTCCAGAACATTCTGTATGATATGTAGTTTTGCTCTAGGATCATTGATGCTAGGATAAGCAGATAGAAGGGAACACCGGCGTAATAACTGATGTCCTCCTTTAACTACCACACTGTACACTCTGTTAAGGGTGCTGCATCTGTTTCAGGGAATAACTGCGGAGTTCCTTGCATATTACAAACACGTTCCCTTTGTCTAAGCCATTATGTTGTCCTATCAACACACGAGCCATTTTGGTTGTATTTACAACAATGTCTGTTTTTCTCGAGCCATACGATCAACTGCTAAGCAAATCGTTTTTTGTGTGTTGAAATGTCTTTGACGTGTGTGGCGCTGTTGCTGAGTAGTCGGTGGCTAAAATGACTCCAGCGAATCGAATGGTTGCGGAAAGCAATTTGCTTTATTTCAAACCACTTTGTTAATGTCAAAGAGGTGTGCTTTCGCACCCCTTAACACATGTTATGCAGACATGAAAGAAATTCCTCGGCGCTTTGCTCAGAGATGGTTTTCACTGATCTTGCACACTGAACGGTTAAAGTGTAGCATGGCAGGAATTTGAAGTGAAGTCAGAAATCGTGGCGGCTGGGTAGTGTTAATAGTGTACCGTAGGTATTTGGTTTATATATATGCAAACGGAACATGAAGAGCTGCGAGATCAATTCAGGGGACTGGGAGCAAACTGCCAGCGACCGACTCATCTGGCAGCAGACTGTGAAAACAGGCCTCAGGAGAGGCGAGGAGAAAAGACACACTACGTGGCAGATCAAGAGAGAGCTACAAACACCTCTGGAGCTAGTAATAGGATTTTACCCTTTTATCTGGCACCAAAACTGACACCTCTGGAGCTGCCACTACATTCACTTGCAATTGCTGTGGCAAGGATTGCCCCTTAAGGATTGGCCTTATAAATCATTCTAGGCACTGCAAAATCCACAGCTGACCTCGTAAAGCACCAAAGGCCTCATTTCTAGCCAAAGGTTGTAGGAATGTGAAATAGCACCGATCGTACTGACCATCTGATGCCAATAAAAATATCGAATGGCGCAGCAATATTTGGTCAGAGTGCTGATGCCAACAATCGATGAAAATCATATTTCCCTCATTCCAACAACAGATAACCAACCATAGCTGAAGGTGAGCTCTAAACTGTGGCATAGACAGCACTGCACAGCTACACATTACAAAGAAAATACTGTCTCTTCACGTTAATATTTAATATTAGGTCGATTTTCTGCAACCTCAAAAGCTCCCTGAAGGAACGATCCATTTTTCAGGATGGGTAGGGCTTTGGATATCAGCGCTCACTGTGAATACACAGCTATGATTATTGACCACTGTAATTATAAAAGCAGCAGGGTTGTAAGTCGACACTGTGAGGTGGAAGCATGGAATTAACAACAACACTTGTTATTATTGTCTGCTCAGATGGCTTTGACGACCGATTTGACGTGTCTATTAAGGACTATGCGGAGGTCTATGTGAAGCTATTGGTGATGACAGATGTGTGTATAGATATATCGTTGCAAATTTATAATGTTTGACTCATTTACGTGTTTACATGTACGTAGGGACCCACATACCTGATTCCAGGTACAGTATTCATGGAAAATGTAATACGTGTAAAAAAAGTAGGAACCCCCCCCCATGGCATATCTGCCAAGTGATGTCCACGTTTAATTGCAATCTTTAGGATTTAACCATTGAAACACTTAATTTTCAAAGGTTATTTCTTTAGATCACCCCCAAAGGATCCTCATCTTCGGGGGGGGCGGTGGGGGGAAGAGATGCAAGAACACTGAGTCGGCACCACTGAGATTCTGCATTCAATTCTGGGTTTCCGCCACGCATGATTAAACCGACTTCTCAGACGTAGTCACGTTACTAGAGCCTCAGCATGGTCAGCAGTCACTGAACAAAGCCCTATCACGTGACATTTGGTTTTCAATTTTACGTGTAATTGTAATGTTATTTCATCTGGCAAAATTTCAGGTCCAAAAATTTAACGCTTTTGACTGCCATGCGATAAGTATTCTTTTCGAGTAGGATTTGTAGGAAAGTGTGCCTCCTTGTGTGTGGATTTTATTGTTTAATGGTTAGTGTAAAGGGATCTTGGAAGTGTTTCTCTGATATCTACTTCCACGGACTGCTTTTTAACAGACATGGTAATGCACTGCTCTGCAAGAGTTCCAAATGGAAGCGCTTTACCTTTGCCCTGGAATGTTTATAGGTGGGCGTTGAACGCTTGCTCTAAACTATTTTAATCGGTCCTTTGAGCAATCTATAAATCATTAATTTGTCTTAACTATTTACAGACAGGAAGTTTTATTTTTTGTGCATTGAACAACTCTGGACAGTCTTTTTTTTTAAATTGTTATTTAAAAATATAAAAAAGTAATTCAATGTGCAACCCTTTTGGAAAGCCACTCCTGGTTCAGAATCAGAATATGTATTTATACTGGAGGAATCCGATGAGCTATAAAGCTCCTTTTTCACAGATGTTATTTATGGTAGTTGTTTGAGCATACTTCATGCTGGTCAGTGCAGATTGGCGAAGGGGAGTCAGTGCCCAGAACCAGTTCGGATATCACCACTCTTGCAAGCCTTGACCGGATATCAAACGCAGGTTTGCCGAGTCCATCGAGCATGGTGCTAACCACTGCTCCGCTCCACTTCTCCACCCCTTTATTAAAATTTAATACTGCCGAAGCAAATGAGTTCTAATACCTTGTGTATAAGCCAGTGAGCCATGTGGCAAGCTAATTTTAGAAGATTCCCAATTAATCCCCATTTCAACTTTAGAGCATCAAACAATAAAATAAATTATATATATCTGTGTTGCACTGTATGCAGCTTAACTAGTTTGCTGTCCTTCCCGCGCACCTCCGATTAGCATGGTCGGCTACGTACGGTGCGAAAGAAGTTCAACATACACACATACATACTGTAAAGTACATATTCTACCTTTTCATATCGTCCTAAGCACAAAACGTGTTTCTAGCTGGATGCGTATGCCTTTGCCGTCTGTATCCCTGTGTAGTGAGTCTAACTGAGTCGCAGCCGTTGCTTCTTTTAGAGGCAACACATTTATTTGTAACACCGTAACACAAAGAGGTAACTGCCCCTTTACCCGATACAGCCTAGGGTGGTGACGTCACCCAACTAACTACGCTATACAGGAAGGTTACTGCTACGAAGGGTCGGACCCTGTCTCGGGTCTCTGACCACGTGGTTGCCTCGTAAGACGAAGAGCTTTTAGCTTGAGACAGAGCTTCCCGCTTGTAGGTGATGAGCTTCCAGCTTGTAGGTGTTGAGCTTCCCGCTTGTCGATGTTGAGCTTCCCGCTTGTCGATGTTGAGCTTCCAGCTTGTAGGTGTTGAGCTTCCCGCTTGTCGATGTTGAGCTTCCAGCTTGTAGATGTTGAGCTTCCAGCTTGTAGGTGTTGAGCTTCCCGCTTGTCGATGTTGAGCTTCCAGCTTGTAGATGTTGAGCTTCCAGCTTGTAGATGTTGAGCTTCCAGCTTGTAGGTGTTGAGCTTCCAGCTTGTAGATGTTGAGCTTCCCGCTTGTAGATGTTGAGCTTCCAGCTTGTAGGTGTTGAGCTTCCAGCTTGTAGACGTGGAGCTTCCAGCTTGTAGGTGTTGAGCTTCCCGCTTGTCGATGTTGAGCTTCCAGCTTGTAGAATGCAGCGACCCCGGTCCCTCTCAGGGACCCACCTTATATCCCCCTACGGTCGGGGCCGCTCAGCCCTCGGCTTCGCCCGCCTTCTCGAACATTCTCGTTCCCTCTCGATCCTTCTCAAGAGCTCTCCTCGGACACGTAATCACCCATTAGCCCCCCCCCCCACCTGGTGCCCCCTGTGTGGACACTCCGGATCACGTGTCTACGGGGTCAACCAGAGTGCCATGGCCCGGGGCAACCCTGCCCCTGGGTTGACGCTCACCACCTCCCCCTCGGGGGAGCCCCCCACCACACGCTGTGCGTGGTGCCCGCACTATCCCAGTGCTCACCAAGCCCCGCTAGGGCTGGTTTTACACACAGCCACCCACACGGTGCTGTCCACGATGTAGGAACATCGAACGGAACGGCCCTTCTGGGCCGGCACCATACAGTGACATCCTTGATGTCACTACACCTGCAATATGTCTTGTTTTCAACAGAACGAGTACAATGGTCTAGACTTAAAACTTTCCTGACTGCAGGAATTCATATTCTTGGTTCTTTGGGTAAAGTCACGTAGATAGAAAACAAAAATCAAGACGACCGCTTGTGTTGCGATCGAAACGTCGTGGGTTTTTTGCTTTAAATTTTTGTTTTCTATCTACCGAAAGAACCAAGAATATGAGTACAATGGTCGTTTATTTAGATATAAATGAAGCAAATATGTAGAATCCTCAACGGATGAAATGGCTAAAACGGTGTAGGCAATTTAAGATAAATTACATCCTCTATGCTGCTTTAATGGAGTAGGACCTAAGATGAAATTGGGGGGTTTTGAATCGAGGTTAAATTTGAGGTCACTATCTAACCCTACATTATAGCCGTTGGGCCCTGCCGTTGTGTGTAAAGTAATTGACCGTGGCTAAATAGATGTGGAGGGGAAAAATGTTCCTTATTCATGATTAACTTTGCCTTTGTTCTCATTATTTAAGTCACAACGTGTTACAACGAGCGAGAATAACATCAAAACCTGGCTATGTTTTCTTTGCATGGTTGTGTGTTTTTCCCATTACAGCTTTACACGTACATTATTGTCATAAAAAAAAAAACATTTAATACAGTACAGCTATAAATAGATATAAATGAAGCAATTTTTCGGGCAGAAATTTGCCCCCAGGTGTTTCGTATTGCACGCTACTAATTTTTTTTTAGAATTCTGCCCGCGGGCTGGGGTTGGCAGCGCCACTCCTCGTTGCACGACTAAAAGTCACACCTCCTTTGCCTGTGCGTGTGAGACGGAATTAAGTTGACGTGCAAGCACTTGATTCCACGAAAAAGCCGGTGCCTGATTGCATTGTCCCCAAAAACACCGCCCCGATTTAGAGCGCCGCCGAAGCCAGGGCGGCAGTGTCAGCCAAGCGTGCGGGCGAACAGAAAACCCGGCTGGGGATGACACCGGCCCTCTCTTCGACGAAGACAGCAAGCAAGCCGGCCAGACCCTCCGCCCCCGCCTCCGAGAAGCATCCAGCGACCACGACGACTGGTTCGGCGCTCAGATCTTCCGCGCCAGCCTCGGCGAGGTCCACCCTGGCGGTGAAGCAGGACGTGGCGAAGCTGACGGGCACCTTGAGAGCCAAACCGAGCATCCCGGTCGCCACGGAGAAGTCCCCCAGACCGGCAGCCGCTACTGCAGCCGGTCCCGTCGCCGCCGCCGCTGTCTCTGTGACCGCGAAGGCGCTCGTCCCTGCTGCCGCCAGCCCGACGCGGCCGACCTGTGAGTGCTCGCTCGCGCAATTGTGCTCGCTCGTGCGCCGTGTGCGAACAATTATTGTTCATCCGACGTCGATGTGTGGGCTTGCGGTTCAAGCGAAATGAGCAAACAGTGTTGGTTTATTTCATAGCGTTACGGCTTGTGCATGCTTAACTAATCCCGAGCGCACAGAATAAGTCGACAATGTAGAACCAAATTTATTTTGTTGAAAAATTTTGAGCAATTTTAATAGATTTATCCTGCCTTATTGCATTGCACATTTAAGCACATTCTTGATTTGTAATACAATTATATTTATTTTTTTATCGTGTAGTTAGGTAATCTCGTATACTCTTAAGATAGTGACTGAATATGTTGCCATTCTTGAAGTAGAAACGATGGCTGAAATGGGTCGCATTGTGGTTACAGTGTTGACATTGTTACATCGCTACAAGGTGTGCGTTTAAGTGAAAAGCGGTATTCAGAGTGATACAAAAATACTTTTATGATTGTATTAAATGGGTGCATTCGGAATGGTGCTTTAAATAAATGTGTCGAGTGGCTCCTTAATAACAGTTGTAACAAATATTATGAAGATGTATGTTTTTAACATTTTAATGGATAGTTTTTGGGTGTCATTGATGGTGAAACTGGAGTGATGTGTAAAACGCTGCTTTGTAAAAAAATATATATTTTGTTCCCACACGATTTAAATTGGAATTTCATGCATTTGAAGTGCATTATTTGTATTGACTACAAGCTTCAATGCTACGATGGTTTGCAAATGACAGTGCAATTCTCGAAGCAAAATTTTACATTTCTTAAATTGTATCGTTATCCTGTTTAATTGTATCACCCGAAATAAATGACTACCTTGTGCATAATTTTAGCAGCAGCAACAAGCCGCAGCCTATAATTTATGACAAATGGGAGCAGCTACGACTCTACAGTGATGTCACTCAGGGGAATGTTGCTAGGCTGCTTTCAGCTGGTGCTCAAAAAATCCCCTGCTACGAGGTTCACGGACTCTCTTGCGTTCGCCCTCACACCCACCGCCTTGCGCACAGCTCTGCTCACGGATCGCTGCGCCAAGCCCAGGATGACCCAGCAGAAGTCTCCGGTGTCCACAGGTGCGACCCCCATCCCACGCACAGTCAGAATACATCCGAAGGTATATTCATACTGGAGGAATCCGATGTGCTCCAAAGCTCTTTTTTTTTATCACAGATGTCCGGTAAGGGCACGGTGTTAGAACTGTTCCAAGTTGGATGTCACGCAAAGTCCTAATTTTCGCGTCGCGGAATTTAGCAGAGCGCCCCGCTTTCCTGCGCACCCAACCGAGTGGAGCATTTTGTCGAAATCGGGCGACGGCGGCGGCAATGATTTGTGCTCCGCATTCTGCGGCGGTCGGTCTTGGCAGGTGCCGGCAAGAAGGGCAGCGGCACCACGCCCGTCACCACTCCGGCCGCGGCCGGCGCCGTGGGCCGTCCACCCGGCTCGGCGCGCACCTCGATGGCCCCCCGAGCGCCCGGCGCGCCCGGGGCCTTCCCGGAGCTCAGCCACGTCGGCCAGCGGCGGGCGCAGTGCAGGGGCCACGCCGGGCGGGGCCTCGCGCTCAGTGCCAACCACCCCCGGCGAGAAGAAGGCCTCTCGCACCCTGATGACGCCCAAGTCGCCCGTGGGCACGGCGCCAAACCCCAACCTGAAGGCGGTGCGATCCAAGATCGGCTCCACCGACAACATCAAGCACCAGCCAGCCGGTGGCAAGGTACGGCTGAATATCCATAGGGACCTTTTTGCCGCTATGAAAATTATGAAAAAATAAGAATAGGCTTGACCCTTTCTGGCGATAAAACAGGAGGTTACGGAATAAAAAAGGAATAAAAAAGGTGTCAGTTTTGTTGCCAGATAGAAGGGTAAAACACCAATTATCATATTTTTTACTGGCAAATGAGGTTTCCAATGGTGTAAATGCTTACCCCGAGCTCTCATACTCTGAAGGTGCATTGTCTTTGAGTTGTGCGCCTTATGGCGTCATCTGGTCCAACCCATGTGAGACTAGGCTCTAAGGAAAGCTGTCTCGGGTGTGGACCAATCAACTTCAAGGACAGTGCTGGAGGAATCCGATGAGCTATAAAGCAATTTTTCACAGATGTCCAGTAGGAGGGCAGGTCAGATGTTAATAATGATAGCTGAAAGTGATCAGATACTCTATTCAATGCGGATAGAATAATGATATTCATTATCATGTATAAGAATACACTCAGATAAAAATGTTGATAGCAAATAAGATCACAGCAACAGCAGTAATACATGTAATGGGACTTTGCAAACTCAATTAAATTAACAATTGCGTCGCGGAACTTATTTCAGGTGGAAACTATTTTGTCAGCAAGGGGTAGGTGTTCAATGTATTTCAGCCGACATTCGACACTACAGTTTTCGGTTATGCGGGTTCTGAATACGAGCTGTGTTTCAACATTAAAATATATAAAGTTATACATTACGTATGTAAAGTCTGTACGTGCTGAGAAAATACATCAGGCTTTCCCCAAACAATTGATAGAATTGCGACCCTGGGAAGAAAATTGAAGTAGCAAACACCCCCTGCTTAATGCATTTCTAGAATGATGTTCTAAGGGATTTCTGGTAAGACCACATCTTAAGCTGCAGCTGCATTTACACCACGTGTAGATTCAAGTCGTATTGTGAATTGTACTTGTGAATTGTATTGTGAATTGTATTTTACTCAATCCTGGCTCAGTGGGAAGTGGCTCGTTCTCTTTTGCTGCCCCCATATTCTGGATCTCGCCGTCCCCCCCCCCCCCCCTTCTGTCATCTGTGTAGACCAACTCCCTACCCCTGTTCAATACCAGGCTCCAGTCCTTCTTTCTCCCCTCCGCTTGTGACTACCTGCCGATTCTCAAAAAAACCTATATGCTCTCGTACTCTCTCTTTACTGGGCATCTGTGAAAAAGAGCTGTATTGCTCATCGGATTCCTCCAGTATAAATACACATTCTAATATATATAGTTCCATCTCAAAACGAGATGCTATTTAGAACGAGATGTTATTTCGCAAGGCGTACTTCGGCACGAATGGAATGCGTATAAACACCGGTGCAGGATAAGGCTCACACACGTGTGTGTGTGTGTGCAGTGCAATGACGACGTTTACGTTGTGCGGTTATGGGATATTACAGTAATGGTCCAATTTGAGATATATAGTCAATTTAATTTGATGGGCGAGTTTGGCCTCATGCACTCTTGTCAAAGGCAGTCCCCCCTTTGGAACCCGTCCACAGAAGACTTGGCTTCACGTTGTCGAGAATTTTTGCTCGACAGTAGCAGAGCAAGACTTGGAAAATCATCGCCCGCCGCAGAGATGCTTTGTGCTCGCGATTGCACTGCCTCTATCTCAAGTTCATATGCCTTGTGGCTGTGTGACAGAGATTTCCATACAAAGCCGTGCGATTGTTTTGTACACACGCGCACAAGAGGGACATTCATTTGAGCAGACACATTTCCACACACGCGCGCACGCCTTAGTTCACACATCAGAGTGGATCAGCGCCCACCGCTAGCACGAGTGACTCTGTCGCACTTGCTCTGCTCGTCTCCCCTTCAGCTCACTTCGCCTGCTGTGTTCATGGCGAGGGGATGCGGGGAAAGAAAGAAGGGTAAAGGGGGTGCAGCAGATGTCTTGCACGTCAGTGGATGTCGCTCGTGGCAGCTATCCTCCAGTAGCTCCTCCTGGCTTCCTCGCTTGGCGTCGACCAGATATGCAATGATTCATTCTAGATTTGAAGCTTTTGTGACTGCAAGGATTCATACTCTTAGTTTTTTCGGTAAAGTCACGTAGGTAAATAAAAAAAAGTAAAATTAATAAAAAAAATCACGACGTTTCTAAGGCAACACCTACGTGACTTTACCGAAAAAACTAAGAGTATGCAATGATTCACCCACCACCCTCCATTTCCCCCACCAGCGATTCGATAAAACGCCACGATCCCAGGCCGTGAATCTCGTTGTGACTTTCCGTCTCGTCTCAACAGTTGTGTTCACCCCGTGAGTAGTCTAAATGTAACTTCAGCTGTCAATTGGCATACGTGTCGCAGTTGATTGATTGTCACGCTCGCAATGCGACTGAATATTTTGTGTGGGTAAGAGTGAGTTTCATTTGGTGATTTGACACATCGTTACTCGCCTAATGCGAACACGGTTGAATCATCGTCATGCAGACACGCGCATAAAATTAACGAAGGTGCAGTTGTACGGGTGTGTGTCTTCTTGTGCAACACACTGACAGCTTAATCATTGTAGCCGAGTAAATATAATGTGTGCGCCGAAAGGTGTGTAAGAAAGCGGGGCATCACAGATGTTCTGCCATTTAAATATATCTGCATTCATTCTGCAATTGAGTCATCCGTTTAATTGTCTCGGGTGTGGAACAGAGCCATGCGACTTTTTTTAAAGATATCAATGTTTGCTGAACACCTTCAAGCTGTCATTGCCCACCCTTCTTAGACATTTAAAACATTCCCCCCAAACTTGTTTTGTCATTCCTCTCAACGTGACCTTTCCCGTCATCGTTAATCTTTCGTTGCGTGGGCGTGAACAATTTGATGTTTCTGCATCAACAGAATACCATCTCCTCATATGGTCGTGGAAAATTTTACATCAGACCTTGTGAATCTTTTGCGTAGGCTTGACTAATCCGTTCTTGATCTAATACTTTACATCACAGATTCGTTTGGCTCACAGAGGCTCGCACAGTTGTTGCCTACTGGACATCTGCGTAACAAAAAGCTTCATAGCTCATCGGATTCCTATTCAGATTCTGATTCTCTGTTTCAAATCTAATGCCGATGCACGAATTGGAAGCTTCAGGGGACAGGGGAAGCCCCCCCCCCCCCGCCGCCGTGCACATCGTCATTGCAGAGGAGGTCGCGGCATGGTTCTGTGCGCGTAAAGTGGCGTTGACCCAGATAGCGAGGCTGCAGGGGCGTCAGCTGTGCTGTCAAACCCATGTGGGTCACCCTGCTGAGCCGCCGACTGCGGTTGTGTGTTGCAGCTTGTTACCGCCGCGCGGCTTGCACTCACGATGACCGCCTGCCCAACGCACGACAACGCATGGGCGCCTTCTCCCCTGCGTCTTAATTACACTGGTCAACAACAACAAAAATGTTTTTTTCTGGCCTGGACTTTTTGCAGCTGTTTTAGACTAATTTCAGGGTGCTGATTCCAAATCTGATCTCAGATTTGCTCTATGACATCTCATTTTTATGCTATCGGCATACTCCATTTTCATTGGTTTTACCCGAAATTAACTGTCACTTATGATTGCAAATTGTTGCGAGTCAGTGACTGCTTTAGTGTTAAAATATGGTGCTGTATTTTTAGGATAGTGTGTTTATAATATCATTTTATGTAGATATCCACACTTATTTAATATTTTTCTTCTGCAGTTTTTATTGAAAATGCAATATTTGATATGATGTGATAGACAAAAACTGATGCCAGATTTGGAATCAGCACCCCAAATTACCTTAACACCGTTGGAATACCTTATGCCAGAAAAAGTTTGTTGATCAGTGTTATAACGATAGTCACAACGTAAATATCTGCTGTCGTTTTCCTCAGAAAAGGGGGAATTGCAGAAGTAGGTTGTTTTGTTTTAAAGTGGGGCTGTTGTGTGCGCCGACGTGATCCATTGCACAACACCACGCGCGATTTAATGTTGAATAAAATGACGAGGTTAATGCGGAATGCCAACGAATGTTATGCTGCAACATTATTTCAGCTGGATACCAATTATGAAACGTCTTGTATGTGTGTGTGTGTTACGAGAAGAGATCTGTGTGATTGTGGCAATACCATTCAGGATATGGATACAGCATGTTTTTCATATTCATATTGTTAATATTTAACAACATTGAAAACATTACAACACAGTTAATTATGCAGATATGTAGACAGTAGAGGAATTCATGAATCATTACTTTGCATCAATGTGTCACTTTTAACCCTCAAATATTTTAAACATCAGGATGTGATTAGAGGCTTCATCGTGCTGGCTATTAGAACATAACTAATACTGTAACTTGTTTTTTTTGTGAAGTAAATTTTTGCGTTTACAAAAATTATCGCTGGAATTTTGTAAAAAAAAATACTCCTTCCCTTAGTTAATAAATAATGAAAGTCAGTCGAGACTCCGCTCATGATTTTTAAAAATACATATATTAACAAAAATGTTAATAACAACTCGTTCAGCATTTTGGCTAATTTGGCGTTCGGTCATCGTGTTTCATTGCACACTTTACCTCATGGCGCGCAACCTGCCGATCAGCTGACAGCGGTGGAACCCCATTTATATTGCTGGGTGGGGATAATTGCAAGAAAATTTGCCCACAGGGCCACGTGGGAGTCAACCCCTGGTGCGAGAGTCAAGTCTGTGGTCAATCATTGATGCACGGCACCATCCGGCAGGCGTGGGGAGGTGTGGTCAAATAACCTCCATGACCCATAGGGCATAAGGAGGCCTTCATCCAACAGTGGATTTACTAGAGGGCTGCACGTGTACCGATGCTGTTTTGTTATTAGACGTGACACTTGTGATAAGTCACTGCTAATGGATGAGGGCCTGAACAAAGACTGTATACTGAATTGTGCTGTGGCTCCCCACAGATCCAAATCGTGACCAAAAAACTGGACTTCAGCCACGTGACGTCAAAGTGCGGCTCCATGGCTAATGTCAAGCACATCCCTGGTGGAGGCAATGTGAGTTGTGCTGCCACCGTGGAGTGGATGCCACGTGACACTTTCACACACACGCACTGCATTTCTACTGCCTCTGGGTAATAGGCTGGGTTGATTTATAATCTGATCAACCAGACTCGGCCCGGCAGGCTTGCTAAGCAAAACTAAACTATTTTTTTATTAAACCAGGTAAGGCTCACTGAGCTATATAGCTCTTTTTCAGAAGCGACCTGGCCACAAATGATAGCCCAATGAAGTGGCTTATCACGTGGAGATGTATATCACCCAAATACTCTGCGTGTTACTAAATGTGGAGGGAAAAACCAGAGGACCCAGAGAAAAATCCAACGCAACCACGGGGAGAATGTGCAAACTCCGAATATTCACATGTCAGGGTCGAGGATAGAACCCACGACCTCCTGTATACCAGGCGAGGTAGGTAACATCCTGCCACTATGGCGCTCAGCAAGTGGGCTGGAAATGAAATTGCTTGCAATGGATGTGCACAGACCATCGGTGTGAGGTGTCGAGCCCTTGGCATTGCCTCCATGCTGCCCTGTGCTGCTGTCATGGGGATTGCCGAGTGGACCCTCGTAGCACCGCAGGAACATGTGCAGGTTTCAGTCAGCCGAGGTTCCCAGATTTTCACAACGTAACCCTCATCCTGTCGTCAGGGTCACATCCACGTCGTGACATTTGGGGGGGGTCATCCCAATAGTGAATGCACCCCGGTGGTTATTGGTGAGATTCAGAATCTTTATTTAGACTGGAGGAAGAATCCGATGAGCTATGAAGCTCTTTTTCACAGATGTCCAGTATGGGCACGAGGTCAACAAGTTGCAGATCGGAGTCGTCAAGTTGGCCCACTGTACCACAGTTATGCTAAATATAGTTGACGACTGGCGAGTGACTCAGAACTGAGCCGACTCGTTCTGTCACCAGCATCAGACTGCGTGCCATCTTGATTAAGCACGCTCCACACCCTCGATTAGTATAGTTGGGCTACGTATGGTGCAATAGAAGTTCAACATACATCAGGAAGCAAAACGCGGACTCAAAAGTACCGCGATTTTGTCCAAAATTGTGCGGGTGTCTCTTTTGCCGCATCTAAACGCATGGGGGGGGGGGGGGGGGGTGTCGGGCCATCCACAGGGCCCACAGGTGGCTGCACCACTGCCTCCCGGCAGGTGTAGGTCGCAGCAGCGGAACATCGCCACTAGCAAGGCCAATACGCTGGTGCCTCATCGCCTCTGCACACGAGCGCTGTGCTTTCAGAAGACTGGCTTCCTGCCACCTGATCTAGCGATGGCTTATCATCCCACGCTGTTGACCCCTGCGAACATCCCAACTCTGCTGCCCTCCTCCAGTCCATTATTGCAGGGCGTTTTAATGGGATTTGCCGTCATAACGTCACGCCTGCAATGTCAAGGGCATTGCATCAGGCTGCTCGCCTATGACTGAATCACCTGGAATGCACCAGTTCTCATCAGATTTCAGAATATAAGCAGGGTTGATGAGCCCGGTTTGTGGTTGGATGGGCGACCGCAGTGCACGGGTCAGGTGTTATAGGCTGCTGCACAGCCACGGTGTCGCGCGGCAAAACCCACTGTTGCACTGTACTGTGCTCCTACGTCAATACTCCACCAACCCGCACCTCCCAACGTGGTGAAATTTGGTCAAATAACCTCCTTCCCCATGACCCCTGACAGCATGGGGAGGTCTCAGCCAGCAATCGATTGACGAAAGAGCTGTACAAGTGCAGGCATTATACCGCTTAAGCATTTAAGTCGAGGAACGTATCCACGCAGGGTTTGATGCCAATAGAGATGATGTGATTTTTTTTCACCCAGTTTTTAATATAAATCACATCTATTAATTTTTTTATTGACTTTAGACTTTGCATTCTTTCCCAGCGTGCACACTAACATGACCGTGCTAGCCTTCACATTAGAGGTGTAACAGTTCACCCCCTCCCCCCCCCCCCAGATATATGATGAGCTGTCATTAATCAGGATCAAGATACAATTCGAGAATCATATAATGTTTACAATGTGGTGAAAGTAATGCCTCTAATGACTGCAAGAGTCACGTGAACCCATTTCACACCGAATATTTTCTTACGCGCACGAGTCCAGATATGCATCACACTTGCGAGAATCAATCTTAATTGATTAATGCATCGTTATGACGTCACTGAACCTGATATAATTTCATCATTTGCACATGGTCAATTGATTTTGCGTGACCTTGCATGTTCTCCTTTAAATAGAATACATTACACGCAATTATTTCTCATAGCTCTCATAATACTGGGCAGATGTGTTTCTTAAATGAAACTGTTTTAACACTGCTAATGATGCTATATTGGAGGAGAGGATGATAATGTGATGGTTGTTTTATCGTTAAATAGCTATTTGACACCCTCTCCGACAAGTATGATTTCTCTGGGCTGCACGATTTCACAGGAAGTTGACACCGTTGACCAAATTGGAACCTTTTATTGTCTGGTGTGGCTCACACCGAACACTCCAATTTATCCTTTTATAAAATGGAAATTTCACAACATTTATATACTGTATTACATTGTATTATATTCACACCATACATACAATATACATGTTTAACCAACTATGTGTCCAGATGTGTGCATTGTGAATCTACTGCTCATGGTAATGCTTTCTGCTATCAGGAGAAGGCTTACCATATTGCCTAATTCCAGGTGCAAATTGTTTCCAAGAAGGTAGATGTCCGTCACGTGGCTTCCAAGTGTGGATCTAAGGACAACATTACTCACAAACCAGGTGGGTCCATCCGCACCGGCTTCCTCGTGTCACTCTGCTGCCACCTACAAGCTGATTCGCAACTTTCCACACCTACGTTTTTTTTTCTCAAAATGGTCGGCGCAAACGTTGCATTGTTGTTTATATGACTCAATTGGGATTGCACACAGCAGCAGCAATCATCGCCTCCTACTGGCAGACTAATGCCTCCTTGTAGGTCAGGTGCCGAGTCTCCCTTGTGCCCACCGGAACAGCTGTCACTACGTGTACCCTTTCATATGTTTGAAATATAATGTAAGGTGTTGTGAGAATTCCTGGCGTAGAGGGTGCTTTTCTCAAAAACAAATCATTATCATCATTTGGGTTGGGTTGGGTTTTTTGTTTGCCAAGGGGTGCAGTTGGTTAATTTTCCCAATGATGCTACTCTTTGGATTTCCAGTCGCAACAAAGCAGGCATCGCGTGAAGAGGAATTACATTGCAGTTGCGAGAATAATGTCTTGTCGCGAGCAGCTATTCACTCAGCTAGAATAGAACATCTTTTTGGTTCTTTCGGTAAAGTCACGTAGAATGGAAATAATAAAATAATAAAATAATAAAACATTTACATAATAAAATAATTCTGACGACGTTTCGGCCACAACGCAAGCAGCCGTCCTCAGTCTCATTCAGACTGTCTACTCGACAGACCTGCTCTCCACCTGAGGACGGCTGCTTGTGTTGTGGCCGAAACGTCGTGAGAATTATTTTATTGTTTTATTATTTTATTATTTCCATTCTACGTGACTTTACCGAAAGAACCAAGAAGATGAATCCCTGCAGTCACGAAAGCTTTACATCGAAATCTAGAATAGAACAGTCAGCAAATCCCTGCTTTTCTTCTCTTATATATTGATATCCTGTCAATACTGGTATATATAGCTTGGGTAAGATCAACCTGAGTACGAATACTAATGCCAGGATGACATTCTCCTATAGTGATTGCTGCATTGGTAAATATCATCTCACCTCGATGCACTTAAAGCCCCTACAGCCGAAAATGTCAAAACTCATTGAATTTCAATTCAGAAACGTTTGAGGGGAGTTTCTAGATACTCTCGTACATTGCATTACCCCCTCCCCCCACCAGGACTCGAGGCAACCTCACGCATGCTTTTGTGTTTATCTAATCTCAACACTCCTCCGCATAAAGACGCACGCCGTGGTGTGGTGGGGCACTTATTTTAAGAGTGCCCTTTAAAGAGGAAAGGGGGTATATTGCCAATCACAGGCAGTCACTTTGTCTACGGTGCCATACTCACTTAAACATTTTTCTTTTTTGCAGAGGAACATTGTCACGGCAGCACACTGGCGATGCACGCTCCGGAGGGTTGACTCGTTTTTTTATCCACACTGCTGTGACTGCAGAGGGCCAGCCAGGGATGTGCTGTTGTCAAGCCGTATTACGTCCTCAGCCATCTGTGGTTCACTCTGAGATATGTGAGCTACACAATTAAATAAATAATCCCTTCAACACCAACGGGATTTTGTGTGTATGTCTGTGTGACAGGTGGAGGGAATATTCAAATTGTCAGCAAGAAGCTGGATTTCAGCGAGAAGGCTCAATCCAAAGTAGGCTCCCTGGACAATGCAGATCATGTTCCAGGAGGCGGTAATGTTAAGGTGAATGTCCCATGGATGTGTGAGTGTGCTGCCTAGTGCCTTGGCAGGTGTTTTACACATTCACATCATCGTCACCAGCTATTGTCTATCCACTGCAGGACGAAGCCCTTCCTATGCCGTCACCATTTGTCATGATCCAATGCTGCTTTCATCTATCTTACGCCTGAAAATGAATATATTTATTCGTTCCCTCTTCAGGGGTGGTGGGGGAGGCGGTACACGTTATCTCCTTTGGATGCCATTCCATCACCAATCCCACTCATGGCCATGAACCCATTTAGTGATGTGTCCTGCCCAAGACCACTTACTTTTCTTGAGTGTCAATATGATGTCTCTGGTCTGTGTTTGTTGTCTGATCCACGTGATCACTTTTCTGTTTCTTGTGTCAACGTATGTTGAACGTGTTTCACACCGTACGTAGCTAAGCCTGCTAATTGGAGGTGTAAATCCAAGCACTCATCTCTCCACTCTGCTTCGTGTACTTTTCAGCTTTTAATCTATAGCCTCTGTCAGTGGCCGTGTTTGTGATCCATGATCAGATCTGAAAATTTGCACTGATGGAACATTTTCTTCTTCAGATGCCTTGTTCTGCTCATATTCATAATCTATATTTAGACTGGAGGAGGAATCCGATGAGCTATGAAGCTCTTTTCCACAGATGTCTGGTATGGGCGGCTCAGGACCAGCATCAACTTTCTAAAGACACTTTTTCCTGCTATTGTTCCCTATTTCACTGATGTGATGCCCAATGTATGCACATGCTGCTGTGTTCTCAAGTTGTATTCGGACCACAGTTAATTTGTATTGTTTAGAAAACTTGTTTTACACTAAGTTAGATTTGCCAATATTTAAGTCCAACCTTGCAGCGTTCTTCGTGAATTTCTTCAATACCTCTCGTAAGTGAATTTCGCTGAGTTGGCTAAAACTTTTTCCATTTACGTTTCAGCCTAACTCTCCAATGTATTGCTTAGAAAGACATATTCAAAAATTGCTCTAAAAAAATCTTGGTGAGAGCGTATCTCCTTGCTTGACCCCTGTTTTGATTTGTATTTTGCAATTCTCTACCGCGCAAATCAAACTTGCCAAATTTGAAAATTACCCGCAAATTATAAATAGCAATTATCGCCCCCTACTGGCAAATGAGACTATTCCTGTCTCCTGAGTTCTCGACTGGTTAAATAAAATTAATTTGAAGCCTAAAACTCAATAGCAATGCTAGATTTGAAGCTTTCGTGACTGCAAGGATTCATATTCTTAGGTTTTTTCGGTAAAGTCACGTAGGTAAAAACATCAAAATTACAGAAAAAACCTAAGAATATCAATAGCAATGCCTTCTTTGTAAAATCTTTGACGATTGCTTCGGTTTCCACTGAATCGAATGCTTTTTTTTATATAAACAATGAAAACCAGGCACGATTGTATTTGAAATTAATTTGTCTTTTCAAACACTTGATTTATGTTGTGTACACGGTCACTGATGGGAAATCCTTTCCGAAATCCAGTTTGCTTACATGCTTTATTTGGTCTCTAAAACGTCCACAATCGGTTCCCTGGGATATACCAAAACACTTTCTGCCAGTCTACATGGCCAACCTGACACACTTGTCTTCCAGGTGTCTACCAGGTAGATGACATCTCCATCTCCTTCACATCCCTTTCTCCCCACCAGATCGAGTCGCAGAAGCTGAGTTTCCGCGAAACAGCCAAGTCTCGCACGAACTACGGAAATTCTTCCCACTCGCCCACGACATCAGGAGGCCCCTCGGGACGCATGAGCAAGGTGTCGTCCACGGGCAGCCTGAGCCAGGACGCTTCCCCTGAGCCATGCGACGCACAGGAGCAGCAGAACCACCAACAGAGCCAGCAGCAGCAGCTGTCCACTGACATCACCGAGGCACTGACCGGGCAGGGGTTGTAGGGTGGACACACGCAAGCACTTCGCGGGTCGGAAGTGGCAGCAGGGGCTAAAGGGTCACAGCACCTCCAAACTCCCCCCCCCACCCCCTCCTCCGCCCCAGCACGCACACATGCATGCTAGCTCCCGTTAACGTGACGCACGTTAACGGGAGCTCTCCTGAGACAGACACCTGTGCACGCGCGTCTGTGTGTGTGTGCGGACACGCGCACACCACGTTCGTACCCACACGAGCACGCAGACCCTGTACGTGTCCACCGTTACGTGCTCTCATACCTGCCCGCACGAGCCCATGCAGCACAGCATCCAGTTTCACCGGAATGTGCCCGGCCAGACCCGATATGCCCCCGCATCCTTCAATCAAGCAGGAGAGGCAGGGTGTGCTGCATCTGCAACCACTCTGGCTGGCACCATTGGTTGTGAACACACAACACAACACGCAACGTGCACGGCTGAGGAGCTTCTAATAACTGCACCCCCCCCCTCACTCCCGATCCATTGCCACATCTGTGTTATTACGCTGCACGCAGTTTTGACATTCTGTAAAAGATAATGTTGCTTTGATAGCCTTTAGGAATACCTCGATATTTCTAAATGAAATGGCCGTTGTAAATGACCCAAAAGAGCTGGCAGAGTATGAATACGTTATTACGTGTGGTATTTCTGTAACAGTAATTTCAGTGTTTTCCGAAACACGTACAAGTACATGCTACCAGAAAAATAATCGCACACGATTGGCTGCAAAACCCATCTAATATATAGTACATATATATAACCTAATACATCTCGGTGGTGAAACACAACACACGAAATCTCGCTTGCAAGTGCCATCCATGGGGCCGAGATACAGGTCACGCTGCGGGCACGTCTGGCTCCCACGCACTGGCTGGCTGGCTGGCGAGTGGCCGCGATGAGACTGTGGTGGGGTCGATGGTCTGGCTGGGTGAGGCCGAGCGATGTCTGCACACCGAGCACGGTTTTCGTCTCACGGCACGTCTTCCGACGGACCTGCCGTGCCGTTGAACTCACTCGTAGTTGAAACGAATGCTGCAATGTCCTGCAACCTTGGCAGTTAATCTCCCACACGTCAATCTGGCTATTGCTTGTGTTTAATACTTTTGAATATTTATTACATCCTAAATGTTCTCTATCGTAGCTGGAGTAGTTCTAGGGTAATGTTCATATTGCCATGCATTTTAACATCTTGGAAAGTTTAAGGTGTTACATTTTCAGTAGTTCGTTTTAGGTGTAAAACTACTTTTAACTGTCAACGAGTCAGGAATGAGGAATGAGACGGTGGTTATTTATTGCCGTGGCATTGCCGGCTTACTGGTAGACAGCGCCACGAGGGATATGTCCAGACGGCAAATTTAACATAGTATTGTAATGATGGTGTTGACAAAAAATATTTATCCAAGAACATTTTGCATGACCAATGGCTTGTAGCGTATACGAGCGTTGCAAGTTTTCGGGAATTACATTGCAGTATGTTAGCTGTAATGTCGACCACATTACACACGTGTCAAACGGGAATCCATTATCCCTGACAAGAGCACACTTTTGCCATTCAGCACAATGCAGAGGAAACACGATTGCGGGTCAGAGTAATGTTGACGTTAGGATTACGATGGCAGTGTTGCTGTTGGTAATGATGGGTGTGTGATAGTGAAGGTGATGGCGGCGTTACGTTTAGGATTTTGATGGAAGTGGCAATGCTGTTTGTGAACGACAGAGGCATAAACGATGGCTTTGGTATTAGATGATATTGGGAATGATTGTTAGTTATAAATGTAAGACAATAGCATTGGGCCTAAATAGTGCCAATCTTTGTTAGTATCGGTGGTTTGGTGTTCACTTGAAGGGATATGTATGTATGTTGTGAAAGCAGCAGGGCTCCAGATATGACACCTCGGCAGCCGAGGAGACCGCATGAGTCAGAAGGAATTCGAGAGTCAAGTGGGACTACCTAGCTCTGTGTATTTCACAGATTTCATGCGGACCTCGAACAACTCCTCGGTACGCCTGGTATCATCGATGCGTCTGGCATCATCGATACGTATGGTTTCGTCGATACGTCTGGTATCGTCGGAGTTCCCTGTGCTGAACTCTGCAAAGCAGTGTTGTGTTGAAGGCCGGCCGAAAGACGTCCGTAGAAGCATTAACTTCTGATAAAATTACTGTAACCGGACTGTTTTTGGAAATAAATGCTGACTCCATCTTGTTCTGACAGTCATATTTCTGGCTTGTCAGTAGCCCATTGTGCGTATGTGCGTGCACGCGTACGTACGCACACATACACACACATTCACCCGATTACAGGGGTTATCTGTCTTGACTGAGACTTGAATGGTATTAACTCGCCCTGGTAATTTATTTTCAACCGTGTCTACACATTTTAAGTAAAACACGAGTATGTAACTTTTTTTTTTACTACCAACATCTATATACGAAGAATATGTACACAATAGCAACTGTTTAAAATATAACGAATGCCACTAATTACGTACTGTCAACGTAGAGTTATAAACGCTGACATTTCCCATCAATGGTAAGTCTCAATGATTTTCTCTCAAAGTTTTCATTCTTTTGCAACGTTAAACACGTGCCGATTGCGGTCGTGACAACAAAAGCTCGGATCACATTTTTTCCAAAGTAAAATGCTTCTGCAGATGCCCATTGATCTCCAAAAATAACTTTCTCGTGGACTTTTTTCCCATAACCCTGCAGTGGGCTCCCCCTCTGGACGATAGCTCGGCCCAAACTCCAGCCATAGCTTGGATGGTGGAAGGTGGCTATAGGTTTGAGTCTGCCTCTTCCCCCATCGCGAAGTTGACGTTGCACAAGTCTGGAGTCAAACGCTGGGTTTTGTGGCCGTTGGAAAATGTGGAGATGGATTAATTCTTTAGCTCCAACTCGGAGATCACCATCTTTTGCCGCCGGGTGTCAGATCGGCGAATGTGCGCAACAATAATAGTCGCGTTGGAGGCGGAATGAATTAGCCTAGCATGGAACGCTTGAGATTATTAAAGAGTTTCTGTCTTATACATTTTATTGGCGGTTTTTAT